TGAGGGAAAAAACTCAGGTATGATGTCCAAGAAGTCCAGTGATGTAGAGGAAATAATAAAAAAGTGGTAACTAGTGCAAGTCAAGAGCATTAATCATCCAATTTAGATATAAAGGTGATTAAAACCAGCAAGCAAGAGATCACGCAGCATTTATTACAACCCACCACAGATGTTGCTCTGACATATCTAATGGTTATATATCTATCCAGCACCTTGACCCTTTAAATCAGAAAACAAAAGAAAGCCTTCCAAAATTTTCAGGCTTCATTTTAATTACTTTTCCCTCTTTCCTTTTCCAGGAATTTAGTTTATTTCATCAAATATAATTTTCACCGGAATAGTTTGTACTCTAATGAAAAATTCGTACTCTTGGAATTATAAATTATGAGATTGGAATTGAAAAGTAAATGATTTTGCACTTCGCCACTACCTCAAGAGCTTGGATTGTTTCTAAAAAAGACCTTTAGAGGAAAATAAAAATCTTTAACTTGAAATAAAGATGTCAAAAACTATAAATCTATGGATAAAAGATAAATTTTACCATTCTTATTAACTTAAAACAATGTCAGAATCAATACGCGATAAAAATTTCTTTGTTTCATTTCATTGTATGTTGCAGTAATTTGAACAGTGAAGCAGCTTCCAGCAAAGTAATTGCCATAAATAAGCTATCGGTTATTATATTGATTTCATAAATGCACTCAGCAAACTGCGACACATACTGATGTTTCAACACCAATTTCAAAAACTTACAACACAAAAACTGTTAGAAATATTGGAAATGTATAAAAAATTCGATGATTTTATATTTCCACCTGACTTTAATGAATTTTTTAGGTAAGACAATGTAAAGTTTACCTTGCTTCTCTAAATAAGTCATTAGGAATTACTGGTAACTTTAGCTTGCTGTTCTAAAGAAATGGAGGAAATTATTCAAATAGCCTTTCCAGTCTCAAATATCATCAGTCCTTCAACGCCCGTTTGTCAACACAAGGCATGAAAAAAACTATGAAAACTTTGTCTAAAAAAACCGCAATTATAATAAAAGCCGCACTGCTTTTCTGAACAGCTCTCCTTCATTCTAAAATGAATGATGAAAATGGACGAAGATGCAAAATGAAGGAATCATATATTCAAGTCTTATTTTACAAGTAAACAAACTGCTGAAGACACATAAAATCATCTTAAACAATACGCTACACTTAGAAAGCTAAGGTATTATTGATAAAGGAGAAAAAAAAGTGTCGGAAAAACTGAATCGATAAAAATTTAAATGAGTTATAAATGTCAACAAAAGGTTTGTGCAGGATAGTGGATTAGTGAAATCAGGTCCATCGGAACGCACTGCTTACCATATTGAATACTTATGATGATCCCAGGAATACAGCGCATTATAGCAATTTACTCCTTAGGATGCATCATTGCAACTACCAAAAAAGTGAGGAAGGAAAGACAAAATGGCTCTTACTTACATTATTAAAAATACTGTAGTGCTGCTGCATGAACTCCAGACTCTAAATACCTGGCAGTTTGATCAAATAAAGGCGAATTTTTTTCAAAAAGGGAAATGAGCAGTAGCAGGGAAGACTTAGAAAGCAAAAGATGTTCATAAGTATTTTTGATCGTCAAATAATGAACGCGTGAATATGTTTCACAGTGGAAATAGGAAATGAATTTAATCTTTCTTCAGCTGGAGACTGAAGGCGGTTAAACTATCACTAGAAGCTGTGCACTATAAGTAGAAGGCTCCAGTTGACGCCAAGGATATCTGCTTCTTTGCATAACATTCAAAACATTCACGTATTATTTCGCATGCTCTTTTACAAAACATACAGCTAATTTTATGCAAAAAAGAAATTTATTTCAAATAAATGAGATAGATTGCAGTGAAAATGAAAGACGCTGAATATAGAAGATCAGTTCAACTTATCTGCTCACATGAAACCGTCAAATGTCGTGGTTCACTGACTAATAGACAAAATTTAAAAAAAATAACCACAGTTTACTGGTTAATAGACATCCGATCCAACAGCCTGTACAGATGGACAACCTTCAGATGTCTTAACAACTCCCTTTCGCTGACTGGCAACTCTGACACTGTGATTCATTTCAAATAGCTAATCACTCCGAGATGAGATAATGTGAGTCCATGTCCATGTGTGCGTATTTCTGGGTATCTGCTGCCTGCATAGAGATGATGGCAGTAAAGCAGGTTCAAACCTTCTGAATTCAATTATGAATACGTTAATGAGCTTTCAGAAAATGAATTTAGAGTTGTTGACTGCCAACTATTTACTGCCGATGGTGCAGCCTTCGAGGTATTAGCAAATTAGCACCATTTGCAGAACAAAATGGAACAAAACTGGTACGAAAGTAAAGGGCAAGAGTGTTTTTCTTAACAAGGTCTTGATAATTCTCACTGAAAAAAATAAAAACAGTGATATATAGATTAAGGAAGATGCAAAAACTAATTCTCTTAATATTCATGAATAATTTACAGTAGGTTTAAATCCTACATTCTCATGTTCTCATTCGTGGAATAACCTTTCTCTCTCTCCAGCTCACACTTTTTATACATCTGATTTTGAACTATTTACAGTTTTTAAATCAATAAAAAAAATTTATTTACATCCCTAATAATAATCATTTATCCTGATACCTGATACTGATAAATATCTTAACTTTACTGAGCATATTGTTGTTTTATTGAGCATTATGCAAAGGATACAAACCCACTGGCAAGCATATTCACTACCATTTGGATTTTAGCTCAAAACGGAAAATGAATTTAATGCTCAATAAAGCAAAAAATAGCAAACCACACACACATACATACATACACACATATGCACATATACACACTAGTCACATTAATCACATACAAATATCACACTATGGTCACGTTAAATGACCAACATATAAAATAGAGCCAAACAAAAAGTAGAAAAGCTCTAAAAAGCTTTCATCGTTATGAAAAAGCAACAAATAATTTCCAACAGTAAATTCATAACACGTCAAAGTAAAATTACATAATATAACACTTGTCGAAAAATTTTTCCCAGTCGGCCTAATATTTGCTCTTGCGAGCTGTGAACCTTATTTCTTCGAACAGTTTTGCCACTGACTAAGCAGGACCATTTTTAGAAGCTTTCGGAGCCTTACTTCTTAAAATTTAGTCATATTAACATTACATCTATCTTGCTTTCCTATCATGCACTCTTTTTGGTCGAGCAAGAAGTAACCACGCAGCTCCATCATTTTAAACAATATGTTCTGACCCATCATTACAGTGATGCAGGATTTCGAATCTTGTTCATTTTGTGGAGTAGCTTACTTGAATAACAGCGTAATTCAGGAGTTTGGAGAAAGCGCTAAATATGTACTTATTTGTGCAACAGAGACAACCACCCATTCTTCTGCGCAGTGAAAACGAATTAGACGCTTTGAATATTTTGTCGACAACAAAAAAGATTACATTCCAAACAATAAGATAGAAACAAAGAGGAAGAATGTATGGATCATGCAATCAGCAAGATAATCTATCTTGCTGATTGCATGATCAGTATTCTTATTTGGTTCAGTATTCTTATTTTTGAAAATCCTAACAACTTTCTCGGAAAGCTTATATTTAGATCTTAAATTGATTAGAATATTGAAATATCCAAACGTCTGACAGTTACAAAAAACAAGTGCATATGGAACTAATCATACAAGAAGGACAAGAGCCCCATAATTTTTGCGAGAAAAACAGGATTCACTAAACTTTTAATATAGCTGCCTTTTTTTTTACAACAGAGTCTTACAACTCAACAGTTAATTTTATTAGCTTAGAACAAACTTCCACTGAACTATATGAAAGACAAAAAATAAATGCAGTTGTCCCAGGCAACTGTTTCTCTACGTCATATGCTTTACTACAATGAGTCTTCAAAGCTTCAAAGCACTCTTTACGAAAAATCAACTGACAAAGTTAAAGAATGAGCACTTTTTCATGAGAATATTCCAACTCATCAAAACGTCAAGTTTTGGAGCTTAAAGTCAAATTTTCCAAATTTATACTCAAAACTCGAATTAATGGCAAATTTTAGCTGATCAAAAGCTTTTTAGCCGATTAACTTGTTCAAAATAGAACAAATCCAGTCCTTTTCAAATTCGTTTATCAGCCCAAATAAGGCAGCCATTGCGTTTGCCAATAAGAGAGATGATACTACGAAAATGATTCTAAACGCTTGGAAAATGATCCTAAGAAAATTATCTGATGCTAAGCAATTTTTGCTGATGTACTCTAAATTACCTGTAAAACGTCTATTTTAAACTGTTTAACATCTAGTGTTCTTCGTATGACAAGAATATCCAAAAAGTCTAAGCTTGACAAGAAACTAACTGCATTTACCTTAATTTACAGTGCAGCAAAAAATATTTAAGGGAATATAGGTGAGTGGAAAAGCTGAAATGTAGCAATAAAAAAAATAATTATTAAAGAAATAGGAACAAAGGAACTAACATTGATAAGTGGGCGAGGCAGACAACGACGATGGTTGGTTGCCAAGGTAAGTTCTCATCGACGCCGACTGTGGCTGCTGTAATCATTCACAGTAATATAAAAATGAAAGACGCTGTCAATGATAATATAAATTAATCAACTATACCAATACAACAAACCGTAAAACAGTTTAACAGAAATAATGATTCCTCAAATTATCAACAGAATAAGGAATAGTCCTAGTCTTCCTCCGTTTTCCGTCTACTTAGCACCCTAAGAAACGATAACTTGAGAGCATTAACTTGTATCTAGTCTGCAAATAAAAAATATGAGGAATATGACTCTATAAGAGATATAATTTATTTAATAAACCGCTGCTAACAGTTTATTTAATAATTCGCAATTCTGAAAATCAATTATATTGTGTACCGAATATGTTTTGATATCATTCGGTCTTTACTAACAATAATTCCAGATGAATGACAATAAAAACTGAGCACAGTCATTCCCTCTTCTCTCATATTATCTTGTCTTCTCTTCCCCTATCTCGCACTTTTTCCTCGTTTGCAATTAACTTATCGACCAATCTTTCGTATGAAGACCTATCTTTTCTACTGTCCCAAAAATCCTTCAATATCACGACATAAATTTAGTGAAAATTTAAAGGTTGAAAATCCATACACAATACTTACAAAATGAATTAAGGAAAAATTAATAACCTGCTGACGGTAAATTGAAGACTGAACAGGATATTTTGGCTGCTGCAGTCCTTTAGACTGATAGGAAGATTGTGTCAGATACTGAGTAGACTGTGGTCCAGAAGACTGCTGAGAAGCGACAACGGATGACGGCGGATACATGGTTCCTCGCGATGCTGGTGTAACTGATGCTCCCGAAGCACCAGCTGGAAAAACATTGGACGATGAAAGAAGCTGACTGTTTTGTGATTGCAGCTGCGACATACCCGATGGATATCCTAAAGTAAGATAAAAAGTATATGCATAGTCATAAAAGCGAAACATTCGAAGGGGTGACAGGAGATGGAGCGTAATGTTATTCACAATAGTGAATATGATATGGAACTGTTCTTATATGCAACTGCACTCATTAAGGTAAACACTCCTAGTGAGTATGAAAGAGCTAAAAGTTCAAGTCAACAAATTTGATAATCTAAATTGACAAAGGAAATGCATTAAAAATAAAGCTCAAAAATACTCAGAGAATTGTTTTCTTAGCCAGGTCCTAAAGCATGCATACACCCATAACGAGTAAGATAATGCTATCAGGTTGCTTGATTCTAACACGATAAAACATAATGACCATTAAAGAGTAATTCAAGTGAATCGTCTAAAAGCCATCTGCTCACCTTTTATTATAAATAATCCATCAATAAAGTTTCTATAGTTTAAGTTAAGAGCAAAAATGTCAAAAAAAAACAAGAAGAGATAAACGCATATAGAATGAAGCACAATTTGTATCATTTACTAGAGGTACATCTAAGTAATGTAAATAGCGGAATATTCTATAGAGCAATTTTTACCTTTCAGGTTCATTCCAACCAAAACTATTCCACTTAGAAAAAAAAGTGCCTAAAACTTAAGTAGGCGATCTTCTTTCAGACTCATATCAGTTGGAGTTGTGTAAAAATAATGAAATAGGCAATCATACAAATTTTGTACAATTTGCTCTACAGTTTCTCCAAGACATCTCACTTAAAATCGAGATTTTTATCACAACTGAGTCGTAAATTAGATGTATGCATAAATGAAAAGAAGTGCTATGAGAAACCAATCTGCTAACGAAATTAATGGCAATTAGTAGCAGGTGAAAGAAAGACTCAGCAAAACATAATGATAATTTCACCAACACGTATGACATCCAGCTGGGCAATGGACTTATCGACAACTGAGTAATACAACTTTGTACCAAACATTATTTATCTGTGAATCATATTCCAGCATGAATGTGATAAGGGGTAAAGTTGAACTTGAATAATGCGAATACTTCCGAAATACGGTTTCTATTCTTCTTAAGGAGTGGGGAAGAAAATTAAAAGAGAAAAACAGAAAGTTTTAAAAAAGCTGAGGAAAAATCAACACACGATCAAGTAACTTAAATTTCTTGAATAAAATTACTCCACTTATAAGCTGTTGCTATAACGTGAAGTTACACTGGAAAACTCAATTTCATAAAAGAAATCGGAATGCATCCTGACGTTATGCTTCAGTTACGCAATCAAAAATCAGATTACTCGTTTATGTTGAAAACAAGAGGAAGTATGATCGCTTACATAAATAAATAAATTACGGAAGAATATCAGGATCGAAAGGGACCAATCAAGCATATAAAAGTTTTCCGAGCATTCTTTTAATCATTATGAGTTTCGTTTCTCTTTTCCACTCAATCCAGAAAGAAACAAAAGAAACTACCACATATTTTTCGTCCGAAAGTTGCATATCCAGAGAAGGTGTTAAATTAGATCATTAAGTTTCTGATGTGCAAAAATGCTTGGAAATTAGGTTGCCGCATAATCGCTGTCTCGCAAATGAAAGCAATCATTTCTTCAGTTTGAATAAAATTCATATTCTACTTTTAGATAAGTACTTCTCTGTGTTGCACTTTCCCTATTTCCTCGATACCAAAGTCATTATAAGATTCTAACAAACTAAATAGAATTATTGGAAAGACAGAAACTGCTCATGCTAAATCATACTTTAAAACTGAACACTACTCATACTTTAATAAAACAACCAAACATGTTCTCGAAAGCCTAAAGTACTTTGCAGAAGTAAAGTACAAAAATCGACCGATAAGGAAATTTTAAAACATCTTCAGTGCTATGAACTATATTTACAAATATATTATATGCAAATACTACGTCAGCTGTAATGTACTTCGCACATAGCACTGTATCTCGCAACCACAAAAATGTCAACTATCAACTTACCACAAAAAAAAATCCAAATTATTAAGTAAATTTATGAATAATCAGCTGTCTGTTCAAAAAACTCAGCTGTATTCGTCAACGCTATTGTTAAAATGTCAACCTATATCTTTTGAAAGGTGAACCGAGAACTATAAGAGATTGCTGTTTGTAGTTCAAAGAATGAGGATTTTTAGGCCTCAAAATAGTGAGAGAAAAGAAATCAAAAGTTTATGCAACTCCACTGACCACAAATATTTATGAAGGGAGAAGGGCAACGCGCAATAGTATAATGAAATATCGATAGCAATTTTTCAGATCAAATCTTATGCGCTCATTTGCACGAATTCGTATTTCATCTTCCAAAGCTATTTTTATTCAATAATGAACATATCTATTTGAAGAATAATAGAGTAAGATTTCTCTTTTCTAGTAATTTCAATTATCGATAGATCACGCTACCTTCAGCTTTATTATGCTCTGATTTTGAATTTGGGTTAATTCTCCGAGAGAATGACAAACACGAACAAAATTAAAATTATTCAGACTTGAAAAAGATTTGCACGTTTACCGCCGGATGTAACCGGACAAATGGCAACGCTTAAAAAATTTTAATAATGCATGCATGAAAAATTTCGAAAAGCAAGAACGGCACTTATATACCCATTCAAAAGTTAAGAATACTTATTCTTTTCCAGTAAACAATCTGAAAGAAGTCTTTTTCGAAAGTTTCTGAAAAGTACATAAATTAGTAATAGAGTATCTACTATTAGCATTTTACATTTTTCGAAACTGTCGTGAATGGATCGATGACCTTATAGATTTGGATTCAGTAATACATAAGATTTTTTTTGACGAAACTTTCATCATAACTTCTTTACTAATACGGAAAGCAAAGATGAAGAGGAATTTTTGATTTTTTTTGTAATTTTCAAGCAGCACAACAATTGATTCGCAAGCTAACCAACCAATGAATTACAAAAAAACATTCGTTACACATTACAATAAAAAATGCAGATAGCGAAATTAATATTTAAGTAATAAAGCGATCTATTATGAAAATTCGAATGTGATATTTACAGAGGAAAATTGACTCTTTTTTGATAAATTAAAACTCATTGGGAAAATTGTTGTATATATAAAATGAAACTTAGAGTTTCAGTTCACTTCCTTTGTAAAGCCAACCAAATCAACATGAAGATTGTTTATAAAAACTGCTCTTTAGCTAAACCATCATATTAGCTCTTAATTTGTAATTCTAAATTATACATTATTAACGGTATTAGGTCATTGTTATCCCGTATGCGCATAAAGCATTCAAGTGTGATTGAAATTACTCGAGTGTTAAACAAAACGAAAGTACTTACAACTCCTGCTGGACAATTTTAATGCTAATTAGCTAAAAGCTTCAGTGGAAATATAAAAATAAAAAACTGAGTATGTATTGAAAACTCGATTTATTTAATTATCATTAAATTAAGAAATGGTAGAAAGCAATAACATGGAAATAAATAAAGGAATACTGCCTTTCCGAAAATTTTTTAATGAATTACTAACCCGAGTAAGGGACTCGTTGTACCATGATGCGGTGCACTGGTCCAGAACCAAAATGCTGTAAACAATAATGAAAACCGCATAAGCATGAGAGTTGTCAGTTTTACAGTTAAAGAAGTAAAAACAACGGAATAACAAGAATCAATTTTAATAACTTAGCAATTTACATAAAATGAATGAGTACTACCTGCTGAGTTTGTTGATTTGTCCACTGAGGCTGTTGCATTTGTGCATGGCATGAATACTGTTGTTGTGGTGGACCCACTACTGGGATTCGTGAAAGATATGAAACACATGGAGGCGAAGGAGGTACATGACTTGATGGTACCATACCTATTTTGATATAATTTTCTTTTAAAATCCATAAAATTTACTACCCTACTAGGAATAAAACACGATCATGAATTTACAACAACAAGCTTTTCACTGAACTATTAAGTGTCGTTTGAAATGGCATAGTAAACGCCGTGATACAGATTCCACAATGTTCGAAAGCTTTTTGTTTTATAACTGTGAAGAAAACAAATCACTGAACATAAAATTTACAGCTTCGGACTCAGCTATATCAGTTTCTTACATAAAATTTTCCTTATAGTTTTTATTTTTGCTTGTTATTTATAAATATTGATTCGAATTTAGATGAAACACAATTTAGAAAAAAAAACCTGCTGGACTTTGCAAATTTGCTTGATAATGAATGGGGGTTTGTGGTGGTTGCATATAGGGAGAAGGAGAAGCATTTGAGGAAGGACGACTTATGAACGGCGAGGGCGGTGGATGCAAACCGCTTGGACTTCCCATTGGGCTACGCACTGCAATAGGCAGAGACCTATATTTCAACGTTTATGCATATGGAACTAAGCCAAAATTATAAGTACAACGCGATAAGCAATTTGAAATGTTGAAACAATAAGAAAACTTTTGAAAAACTGACCCGGTAAACACATTCCCATCGACTGCTGTTGTACAGAAGTGCGTGTAGCACTCGGAGATAACAAAGCTGAATCTCGCATCGTACCTGAAAAGATGGAGGGAAGTATGATGGATTGTTCCTTGCTTAATAATTTTACTGTGGGCGTTTAAATATTAATTTTTGTTTATTCCGTAGTATTTTTTTTTTGAGAACTGGTAAAACAGTGGATTCTAATTTCACTGTTTAAACAATGTTCTCACCACGCTGGAAAGTATACAGTTAATATAACCCAAACTTTTCTTGATTTTTACCCGGTAATCTGGGTGGTTGCATAATTGTTGTTACTGGAGAATTTGAATTAGCCGGTGTTGCACGAATATTTGACGACGGCGACTGAGAAGGGTCAGCAGGCGAGGGCGTCCAGTACTGCAGTATTGAAGAAATGAATACAAGGAAGTGAATGAAATTGAATCAAGAGAAGAAAAAACGGAAAGGAGCGGACGTTGCATAAATTAAAAGAGTTGTAGCAAATTAATGCCAAGTGGAGTTTTCGATGAATTTTTAATTGCCATGAACAGAATCTAGCTTAATTCATTTAATATCAGTTTATAAATAAGACATACAGATTGCTTATAGGGAGATTCGACCTGTGTCTGGCATGCCGTTTGCTTATCGACTACCATGTCCCTCAATCTAAAAATATTGACTGTCCTTGACTGCTTGACTGTAGCGAAATTCATACAATACGGAATTAATTACGAACTGATTATGCAATATCATAAAAGGAATAAGGGAGACATCCAATTCCTTTACCATTCAAATTTATTCACCCTCCGAGAAAAGAGCTAGCAAATGACTGTAAGGCAGCTCAAGATGTCTTGTATGTGAATTTTATATGTACACCAAAAACAAATGCAATTTAATCAAAGAGGTAATGTATGTTTTAGATGCAAACCTGTGCGGATCCAGATGTCCCAAAGGACTTGGAGCTTCATTTGCAAATGACGAAATGTTGCTACCCGAAGCTAGTGTTGTTACATTACGCATTTCGATCATCTGCATTTGAAAGCTATCGATGTAAGCTTGTTTAAAGTCTAACAGAGTTTACACTGCCTTATTTTTGTAGTGTTAATGGCTTTCTCCTTATTGTACACAATCATTTCAGTAAGACGAAATACTCTGTAGATCAATGGAATCAGTAATACTCTATGGTTTATGTAGAGATACAAATCAAGAGTTCGCATTTGACAAAAAAAAAAAGAAAGCAAGAGCATACGATTTGTGATTCGCGTGAAGTGTTTGCAACATCACTGTCTGAAGTGCAAGTTGAGCCTTCCATTATTTAATCTGAAATATATAACATCCTTGTAGCGAGATAATTCTACCTAATTCAAAACAGATATGGAAAAGTGGAAAAATTAGAAAAACAAGCAAATAAGTAAATACTTTTACTGCTACTTTATTTTTACTGCTACTGCTACTTTATTCCACAAACAAGTTCAATATTTCGACCAATCAGTTATTTCCTTCCTATCGAAAGTTAACAAAAAATATAGTTTCCTACATATTAGTAGATTATTCCACGATTTATAGATATGTTTTTTCCAACTTTTCAAATAACAACCATATTTAAACAAATACGCATAGAACCGGAATGATCAAATAGCGATTTGCGCGATCCATTCTATACCGTACAGTTTAAAAAATCTGAATAGAGGAAGCGTCGATTCTGTGCACTTCAAAATTTGATACTGAAAGCGGAAAATAAAAAGTTTCATATTAAGATAGCAAATAATTATCAAGAAAGAGTTCACTCAGACGATGCTATATCAGCTGTTGGTTTCTTCATTTAATTATCATCTGTACAGCTTGTTTTAGTTTGTAGGAGTAATGAAGCAATCAGAGCGCACATAAATAATTCATAGACTTTCTGACGGTCCCACTTCCTCGTTGCTTACCGTCCTGTACAACACTTTTTTACTCATATCTGAAGGTACAACAGTAACTCTATCACCTGAAGCAATACCTGAAGTAATACTTAGAGTAGTGTGTGGTAACTACTTAGAGACTTCGGTTTTGAACAGCATCATTTTAGTTTCAGACAATCTTAAAGGACTAGTGTTTAAAGTGGATTGATCATTTCAAACATAACAAAGATCTTAACCAACAGAAATCACATGAAGTATCCCTGGGACGACAACCTCGAATCTCAAGACCCACTCTCCACCAACCACACAGATCGAACGCACCAAGTTATCTTAACGTTGCAACCATTCATTTTCACAGCATACCAATCGATGAACCTTGCAGTTGCATAAGTAGTATTCGTGGCAGTGTTATCTTAAAATGGTGCAGCCCTTAGGGTTTGGATGTGAGTTGAATTACGGGGGTGTATGGGGGCAAACTGGTCATTGTCCGTTCGAGTCAAGAGGTTATCCTAAGGCTGTACAATTCGCGACAATGAAAAATGTATTTGGTGGACAAGAAGACGAATTACCAGCTCACCCTCAGGACCCAATACTGATACACCAGAAAACGTTAGTGACACTAGTGTATACAACCAAACTATCTGTTAGAATTTGTGGATAGGTCTAGTGATTTTACTGTAAGCCTATTTTCGACATCACTTTTGATTCATTATGCCTTGTATTGCTGCGCTGTGATAAGAGATCTACTATATTCAGTGGCGAGATAACCTACCCTTTGCTGGCATTAATATAAAGCCCACGTGAAGGTGAATATTCATTGACATTAACACTGTTTTTTAGATTTGAAAACACCACTATTAAAAAATGTCAAGCTATCGAATTCCCGATTCAACTGAACGCGACCACCGTCGACAAAACTTCAAGAATTTAGAAATTATACGAAGAGCATTGTCGAAAGTGATTGAACCCATGCATTGTGTCAATGTATTATTTGATCCAAAAAAAATAACTTGTAGTCTATGTGTGTAAATATTTAAAACAGCTGCATACGTTGGCAAGCTGGAATTGAAAGATCCATTAAAAATAAATTTTTCTAATTCTTTTTAATTCTTTTATTCACTGCAGGTTAACTTATGTTGTTGCTGCAAATTTGACTAAGAAATGTGATTACTTTCTGCCTTGTTTTAAATAATGTTATTTGCTTTGTGATATTTGTTTTGGAATGACATATCTTAGGTAAGTTGTACAATTCAGATCGACATTATTAAACTGGAACAGTGCATTTATAATGGTTACAGTTGTGAAGTGGTAGTGTTTGTCACCGATGTTTTCTCAAAACTCGTGTTTCTTAGGGCGCTTTCTCCGGGAATTACCATGATGGTAGTTTTAAAACATCTTTTGGATATTTTTAATATTGTCTCTTAAACCAGTTAGCTTCGCGTGTTTTCTCCTCTTTTTATAATCTTCAGTATTTCATGTAAAATTTTGCGACGGTTACGGCATAATTTTGATTTAAATATGATTTGATGTACATTTCAAGGAAGTTCTGTAAGCAACAACCATACGATAAGCGAACTTGCTTTTATTTTTAAATACTTCTGTATGCCTTGCAGAATTTATTTCTCAACGAAAGTAAACTTTTTTTTGAGAGGATTATTCATGGTATCCAATAACTTGGTCAAGTTTGTGATGATGTTTGTTGAGAACCATAGAAGGTTGGGATTTTGCACATTCGAGGCGAGGTTTGTTGCCATTTATAAATGTTTTGAGGAGAGAGAAGTTTCAGGTTGAATGCACTTTATGAGGACAATAATTTGTCAGATTTTTCACTGCAGTTCCTTGTTTTTGACCTTCGTCTTTTGTTTATGCCACATTTTCATTGAAAATCGTTTCATCATTTACTGTGCATCTTTTGGTGCTTGGGTTACAGTATGCTCACATTACCTTCACTGACTTTTTAAAAGACTTTACTGCCTAGCAAATAGCACTCAGCTTTATTCTTGATTTGTTTTTTTTCAATTTCCATTTCACATTCCTTCTCTTTGTCTTCTATGCCTTTTTCTTCACAACACTTTTTTTATAGGCTGTAAACTGTGAGGTATCATCGTATTATCCATTATTTCCTCTTTGTAGTGGCATATTTGTGATGGAATCGCCCAGCAGAATTAAACACTGGTTTTTTTTAAAATAGAAATCCGTAGTTGAAGATTTCTGCATACAGTACAAACGCGTTGCAGAAAATGGTTTGATCACTTAGTGGTAGATGTGGGTAGATGTTTTATCTTCTACTTCAATCTTTGATTTCAGTCAGAGAATTCTTGGTAAAGACCACAAACGCCTTTTGAGGTCAGTATCCTTTTTCTTTTCTATGTACCAATTTACAAGGATGTGAAAAGCTGCAAAATTTAAACTCTAGAACTTCACAGTTTCTATTTTCCTTATCACTATTTATGTTTTTTAAAAAGTTGGAGACAGTGAATTCAAAATTATGTTCAAGAAAAAACAGTTTAAGATATGTTGGTAGTGGAACGCATTTTTGCACATGTGGATTAAAGAAATATTCGCCAAGTGTTATTTCGATGACTTTTCATCGAATTTCTGTATGCTCTTTTTTCACACGTTCATATTTCTCGATGAAATAACCAATACAGTTGTAAAATTATGTTATGAAAGACTGATTTTTGTGCAAACATTTTAAATTTCAAGCTGGTTCAATTTCTTTCAGAATGGCCACGGATATGGCGAGATGTTTCGTGTGTAGTTTCTATTACCTTTAAAAAAGATCCATTAAAATAATATAATCTCATTCTATTCCTTAATTCCTCAAACATACCTTAAGCTCGATTTTTAATTTTGTAACATCTATTACTAGCGGTTCCGTACTATTATGCTAATATACAACTGCTACGGTTCCAGTCATTTTTGCATTAAGGTATAATACGTCACTTCTTTTGATAGGTCTTACCGGCCCAGTTTTTATTTTTTCGGAATTTTTGCGATGAGGTCAGTTTGATGGTTTTGCTAGATGTACATACTGTGTATTGCTAGATGCTGCCTACTGTATTGAATGTTGCAATATATTTATCATCAGCTTTTTGTTATATTGCCCATATTTCCGAAGATGATATTAAACTTAAGCGTTGACCCTCTGATTTCATATTGAAATAATTTCTTACTGATAGAATATTTCCAAATCTCTGATGTTCATTACGCTATTTTTATTGCATTTTAATTTTTCTGATAAGTGAATAAACGCTCTCACAATTTTAATATGGGTAAAATGTCTCGATTCTGCGAGTGTATTAGTTACACGTTGAATATTTTTGTGTTTGCGGTGAAGACAGTGGTTGCGTTGGTTTGGGGCTGAATTCCATAATTCATATTTTTCGTTTCAAATTGTTTCAGGATTGTAATTCAGTAAAAAGTACACTGAAATTCCGAAGCTGCTGTATATGCTAATAGTGCTTTTCGCTTTGCTTTGTATTGGTTAAGGGAGTAATAAAACAGATATTAATATTAAAGCTGTAAGTAACACTGATGTAAGACACTTAAATTTATTTTAGCTGGCGAGGCTGAGACTAAGTTTTTCGAGAAGGGAAAAATATGGTGAAAAACTATTAATTAAAAGGGAGAAGGTGAACTATTAACAGATTAGAAAAATCAAAATTATAGGTAAGTGCATTTCTATAGTTGTTTGGTTGTATTGACAAGTTTTCCATTATGTCTTGAAAATTATGTCTTCCATTATGTCTCCATTAGTCTTCCATTATGTCTTCCATTATGTCTCATTCAGTGTAGCAGAGTTCATTGGGTATTGGCTTCCCCGAACGTACTTTGTTTATATCTTCCGAAACATATGTCACTTTACCGAGCCAATGCACTCCTCGTACTACAGTGGTTTGGAATTCTGAAGTGAATTTGTTGGAAGCAGATAACTAGACAAAATTGTTTATTCAGATGAGTATTATCATTTTTAACGCATCTTTCATTTTAATGTTTCTCATGAAGTTACTGCTTCAGATTTTTGGGATTCCACGAATAGTTGCTCATTATGGCTTTCACATTTGCTGCATTTTGTTATCTTTTTGCTCTATTTGCCGTGGCATTTTGTATTTTCTTCGCCATATTCACAGTAAGTTTAACCATAATGCTTTCGAGAATGGTAAATTCATGGGACACATGTTTGTAAATATCACTTATCGTGAAGGGTGCAAAAATGTATTAGGAATATCGTGTTATGCTTGCTTCCGCTTTCTTTTCTCCCTGATTTGTGAGTAGTTTTTTAAACACGTGTTGTAATACTGAAGGGATATTTTGACAAAAGTGCATCAAAATTGTTTTTTGAGTCTTATAAAATATTAATATTAACGAGAACTCACAAAAATTAAAATTTCATGATTTGCATCCTTTCAGATTTCCATCTTTTTTTATTCGTGGTTTGCAAAGAAGAATGATATACACCATCCCACCATTAGTTGTGACTATCTAGAAATAAATATATGATAGCAAGATGAGAAGATGAGCGCAATACCGCCAACAACAGTAAAAATGTTTTTCTGAGTTAAGAACATTGCTTTTTATTCTTATTTCAGGTTATTTGTATCGACGAACTAAAGACCGATTACAAAAATCCAATAGAACAGTGCAACAGTTTGAACCAGGTTTGCCTTACTTTTCCTGTGATTAAAGAGTTATTAATAATATTAATGCTGTTGAAAAACTGATCTATGTTAGACTAAGTTCTTGGAACTATTAGTGGTAAGTTCATTAAGAGGAGTATCATAAGTAATTAGTGTTGGCTTTGCAAAATTATTTGCATGCTGTTTATAATTTTGCTTCTCCATGCAAAACATTATAATATCCTGTTTTGTTTTTTTATATGAGTTTTTTTTAGTTGGTTTTACCAGAATATTTACTTCATATCATCCTTACATTTCTTTTTGCCTTGTCGTTTCAACTTGGAGCGCTTTGCTGGAACATACCACTTATTGCATACCATATTCACAGGTGCGTAATTCCTTCATTTTGCAGTTGATTTTTGGTCGTATTAGTGAGTTATTAAAAAACGAAAAAATTATACCTTCACATTAATCCTAAACCTGTAGACTCTTTGAATATATTTTTTCTTAGATATATCCAACGTCCTGTGATGACCGGACCGGGAATATACGATCCGACCACGATTCTAAATAAGAATGAACTTCAAAAGGCACTTAGAGAAGGCTGGGTAAAACTTGGATTCTATCTTATATCTTTTTTTATTATTTGTATGCTATGATATACACGATGGTTACTTCTTCCTGAAAAACATCTGTAGAAGTAGCGCTTATCTTTAATGTAAGTAACAACTGAAAGTATGGCTGTATGTCTTGTTTTCAACAATTATCTCTGTAGGTTTTAAAACTGTAAAATATTTGTGGGCTTTGTGTTATCTCTTATGTGCTTTTATGAGCTTGAAATATGATGGGTTAATTATGAAACATACCTTAAAAAAACTCCACCGTTGGAATGAAATTTCAAAAAGATGTACCGCTCTTTGCTCTTTTCTATTTGTTCTCCCTTAAAATTTCATACATGCATATTTAAATGACTGCAAAAACTTGTTATGCGATCTTCGCGTTTATTTCGGTTGTTTTCTCTCATTATTGTTCGTCTGTTAAGCTTAAATAAGAAATTGCCAAATGTTTATTTCTCTAAACATAGAAACGTTTATCATGCTTGTTCGAATTATAAGATAAATCGACACTGCATTACATAATGTCAGTCATTATATTCTAAGAATTGATTAAGTAGTCTCGACAATGAAACTTGCAGGAATACTTCGTTGTAATTGTGAATCTCCTAACAACTTGCAGATTTTTGTCTAGAAAATAATCCAGACTTTATGCTAAACATCTTTAGGTTTTAATTTAAAAAAATGGAGTTGGAATTAATAGACGCTAGACAATTTTTTTGATCAGTGGTGATCGTTTTATCGTTTTCATTGGTGTTTCTTTTCAATTAGTTGATCCAACTGTTATCAATCGCAAAACGAATTTTTGGAGGAAATTTATTCATCAATTTAGACTTCATACATAAATATAGTAGTTTGATTGGATGGTGACAGCAACGATAGGCAATGACAATATCAGTGACGATGGAATGTTCTCTAAGGGGCATGACATTTGCCATGTCCATAAACGATAGCGATGATGAAGGGAAACCTGTTAACAGCGGCGAAATTTCACTTCGCTCTATAGTTTTATGCCCATGCCTGGTCTTCTCTAGACGTGTTAACACCTATTTCCCATCTGTTGCTTCTCTACCACTTATCATCTTCGGTTTGCTCATATTTGTTTCATCTTTTCACATGCAGCATAAGACCGAAACTTTGAACCTCTCTTTAAATTTTCTGCTGATGATAAATGCAGCTTTTTTATCACAGCCCTGCAATCAGAAAGAACTAGAGATTGTCGTCAATCACTTAAAAACTTGATTTAAATTTTAATTTGATCGAATTCAGTAAAGATGATATGAAAGTTGAGTCGTCGATTTTAGCTGGAATGAAAAAATGTGTCTTATATGTACGTCTTAATAATGATCTTCTTGATACAGCCTCGTGCTGCTAATTGAACTTATTAGTCATTTTTGGATACGAAAGATGAATGAATCACAAATTTGAAGAGCAACTCATAAGGAATAATAATTATGTGATGCACTATAGAATTGGTAATTTTTGCGACTACTTGCAATAAAATTCATGAATCCCTCGAAAATTTACATATTGCAACAGTCTCATTTCCATTAACTGTGCTGCGGGAATTTAAGTGAACATTCTATGTCACTACACCGATGATATCCAACAATCAGTTCTTCCATCAAAAGTCCCTGTAACCTTCATTAATAGAAGTTAATTATTATGATCAATATCTAAAGGTGACATGGAAGTTGCTCTTACCAGTTTTCCAATATTGTTTTGTTTGTAAAGCGATACAGAAGCATAATGCGATAGTCATTGGCTTGCTGTTTAGCCAAATTTAAACGTCTTTTTAAATTGAAAGAGGAAGAATTTGTCTTTTATCAAATTGATATCGAAAATTAAATGTGGATGTGATTATTACGATGCCTTATTGTGGGCTTATTTCAGATGTTACGTTCACCTCGCTGTTTGTCTTAGTTGACAGTACTACATGACACTGATAGAGTGTGACTAAAAAGTACAACTCTTTTGGATAACGTCATCAATGATAGCTATAGGAAGTGCTTGTTACGTCATTCATGTCTTCTCATTGTCATCATTGCTTCACACTTTATCTTCTCTTGATTGTTTCCTTTTACTTAATGCTAATTAGCATCACAGCTGCAACAATATTCTCTGATTCATTGGAACTATGTCAAAGTCATTGTATCGATCGGAATTTGGTAAGGATTCTTCTCAGAGTAATAATGAAGACATACATACGTGTTCTGAGTATCATGTAATCAACCATAGAATTTGCAGGTAGTTCCACTCGCTCGTGGAGCAGTTGACTGGGATACTTCGGTACTTGAGATTAGTCTAACCGAACGAATTAATGCGGTAAGATATGTTTCGATGGTGCTATGAGACAGTTGATATCTTGTCGTATCATAAGTATCTTGTCATGGAAGGTTATAAGTAATAACAAAGAAGACAAATCAAAATAATCTCACGTGCGTGTCATCTTACGAGACTTGCCGTTGCTTGCCCGTTGTTCTATCAAGTGAAGAATTTTATATATTTCACTCCATTTAACTCAAATGAATTGAAATTACGTTTTGTCGACCTTCGTCCAATTAGTCCAACCAAAGTCCAACCAAATCAAATTTTACGAAAAAAATGAACTTCAGATAAAGTGACATGCTGCCTTTAGGTAATGACACCAGGTAAACTGGTGTTAAACGATGACATGACATACGTGAATTGAACTGTTACAGTGTCACAGCGGTTGTCAAGATTTGGAATCAACAAATTCAACTTGCTTGGAGCGCTGTGCTAAATTGGTACCAATAAACAGCTGTACACAAGGCTGCCGGGCTGTTGCCGATATTTTCCTTCACCATTTGCAAGGTCAGTGAGGTCAGTTTTCACTTGGCAGCAATATTTGAAATTTCATTGGAGGTTATTGAGAAATTCTTTACATCACTCATTATACATTATTGGTCAGTTACAGAGACCGTTAATATGTTATCAATTGAAGGCTTGCTGAGTCATGTGCAAGTTGCGATCGAAAGCGATTCAACGATGGGTGTGAATACAGTTTGGAGTTTAAGTAGTGATTATGGTTCAGTTATCAGCGACATATTGGTGGATGATATACAGTGGGCTGTTCAGAGTCGTCCAGCTAATACTTCTGCCTCATGGGATACTACCCTCTTTGAAAAGGTATTAAATTTGTGGAAAAATGACCTTTCTCAGGAAACACAATTCAGGATAATATCCAACTGCTTGCCACACTTATATCAAAATTCAGAAAAATTGATGAAATATCGTTACATGAAAATAAGACGCACGACATACGTACGCTCTAATTAGGCGTTTTTGCATCCACACTTTAATACTGAATGAACTGGCTCCTGAAATTAACTTTCTATATCTGAATCTCCAGATTTCGAAAACATTTTCCTTCAGGCATTCAAAATCGAAACCTTGAAAGCAGCTATAACCGTACCTTTGGTTTTCGCTGAAGAAATAGAGGTCTTTTTTTTTTCGGTGCAACTAATTGTCTGCTACAAGTTAACTGCTTGTTATTACCTCGATTTGACTGTTACTGTAATCAAAGAAGCTGTGACGTACTGATAATCAATCAATGTTTCTTTGTTTAATGAATAACTCTACAGCTTCGATTGTGCATATCTTGGCGGACTTACACCATCGTCTCTCCCACATATCTTCTTCCTGTCAACGACACTGATAATGCCAAGCCATCGCCTCCAACAGTTATTTCACACTTGCAGATATCAGCGAATAGTTTTGCAGTTTGTTGGAAAAGCGCACTAAAGCGTTTGTACAAAGTATGGTTTCGTTGATGTTTGATGTTCATCTCAAAATGGTCTCAATAGACTAAAACTTTTTTGATAAGATGACGTTAAAATATCGGATATCTTTCCTTACAGATTTCGTTATATTCACTTGATGAAAGGGAAATCTCAACAGCACTGGTGGAAAATACTTGCTATTTATTCCAAGGAATACCCACTGATGATTGTTGTCGTGTTGAAATTGGATATGCAAACATTGATACTGCTTCTTTATCCCTTCGAATTGATATTATTAATACAGGTAACTTAAAAAAAAATTTTGTCATTAAATCTGAGAATCAAGCTGGAAATGGGTGGAACTAATGGGAGTTAATTATAACTAATTTATGGTAGATTTATTGTAGAAGGAAAGCCAGAATCAGCAGCGCAACTAATTTTTACGAACGGCACGTCAGTGATGAAACTCTACGATATTGATGATTACGCCGTGCTTAGCGATCCAAAATTAATTCCGTTCGAGTTAAAACCTAGCAGATCTATTACTGGTAACTGATTTGTAAGTTCTCACTGTGAAATGTTATTTGAAAGGTCATGCTGATCAGTTCCGTATATAATAGCAGGTGACGTTATTGTCGTTTTGATGAAAGAGCCATATATGCAATGCATGACTTGCATTCATATATTAGGAAGATAACCCCGGTGATATGATTTGATAAGTTAATCCTGAAATGCTCCATTAAACTTTGCTTACAACTCGTGCAGCAGTTTGACGAAGAATAAAATCAAAAAAGAAGTCTAGGTACTTCAAAATGAATTTACAGCATATATTTTTATAGCATTATGCTCTGTATCAGCTGAACGATTATTGATTGCATTGGATGATGGTAGCATTTACTGGTTAACTACTGGTGATGAGGTATTAAGCGGATTGTTACGATCACCGGACGGTACAGCAATTGTGCATATGGATGTTGACCACATACAAGGCGCTGTATATGCCGTTTTGTTTAAGAAAGGAATCCTGCGGTGATTTTTTCTTTAGTTACTTTTTTTAGAGTAAAACTACACTAAACAGAAAAACCAGTAGTGAAAAACGAAGCTTCGATTTAATTTGACTTTTATTCAACAAAAAGATTCGAAAGATCCTACCACTGCTATCTGCAAACAGATGTTTGGAGTCAAGTCCTAAATTCGTTTTGCAAAGGAATATTTTAAATTCTTGTTTTTCAAATTTGCCATAATTAGATGTGGCTTGGTAGAATGCCAGAACTCGACAATTTTGACAACAAATACAATTAATTATATCGAATATATTTCGGTTGATTCATGGAATGGGTGAGAAGCTTCTTTACTAATTAATGAAGAAATATAAATTGTCCAGATTGAACAAGTATGGTTGCAATAATTAAAATTGTTTTACACAAAAAGATTAAGAAAGAACATTATCACAGGTACATATATTGCATACTAAATGGTGGCGAAGTATTCGCGATACCATTGTTTCCATTGGATGCTCCACATATTCTTCCATTTTCGGCAACACAAAAAATGCCTACTCTTGCATTTGCAATCGAAGCGGAGCCTCAGAATTCAAGACTCATTTCGCTCACCCGAACTGGTTCCATTTTGGCAATAAATATCATAAATCAATCAGTTGCTGATCTTCGGCTGAATATTGAAGTGAACGATCTATATAACAGCATTAAAAAGGCTCATCTTTTTGGGGAACGATTATTTTGGACATCAACTAGTTGTGGTGATACACATTTTTGGGATAGTTGCTTGTACGGCGAAGAATACGATGCCGAAAAAAAGGTTAACATGTTGTTCTCAAATACGACACTTATCGGATGAGCTGTTGAATCATTGTTTTTTCTATTTCAAAGTATTTTTGCTCTCTGAAATTAAAATCTTTTATATTTAGAAAATACATTTGAATCGCTATTTATATCCCGGTCGAGTTGTTGATTTTGTATTCCTACGTGATAGCCCAATGCCAATAACGATACCTGTGCCAAGAAAGATAGGTCTTATAACAAATGATAGTACTGCACGAATCACATGGGAATCTCCAGTATTACTACCATTTCAAGGTAATTTTTTGCGACTTGCCAGAATATGTTTTTCAGGCCAAGTAATCCATTTAATTTTATCGAATGCATTCAAAAATTCGTCCATTACAACAATGAGTTGATCCTTTCTCGAAAATTCCAACAGAAGCTCAACTATAATCCCATTGAAATATCGTCCAAAACAATCACAAGTAGCGCATGATTTTCAAAGCGTATTCAAATAAGTTTTGAAAAAGGGGGCAAATTTTAGCACAAGGTGCATGGCGTAATTTGCTTTATGAATGCCGCATAATTGGTAACGACGAGAATGGTAGTACCATGGTGGAATTTACGCGGCTATCTGAGACTAGTCTGTTGATACCGGTTTCTCCCGGTCTTCAGTACCATGCATCTGTTCGAGCTTGCATCAATACCATATGTTCCTCTTATGCTAATGCTATCAATAATGCATTTGCTCCACTCACTGGTATTATATTAGCATTCTTTAAGGACTTCAGTAAAGACGATTAATTTCTGAAGGTGTTGATTGATTATCCGTTTCTTAAACTAGTAAACATATGAGGATTCCAGTATTTTAATTTTTTTCATAGTGAAGTTGTATTTATCGCACTTTTTAGAACCTTTGTTTATTGCATTTTGTCAAACGATCAATAATAACATCAGCTATTATGATATGCTCGGTGATCCAATCGAAAATTACACACTACGTAAGTTTCTTTTTCAACAGTAAGGGAAACAATTGAGAAGCATTAGGGTTGCATTAGATGAACTAAGTAAGTAGTATGTATCGATGAATGTATTAGTGCTGTTGAACAGAATTCATCTTCGTTTTTGAAAAAGACTGACCCAAAATTAATTAGAACAAGAAGATCTATAAAAACTCACTGCTTTTATTTCAGCTGGTCCAGTACCGGTAGATGGAGCAACGATATTTGCTTACGATAAGTTGGTGAAATCATTGTATGTTGCTAAAACGGAAAAGGTTATCGAATTTAGTTTAATTTCTTCTCTTGATATTGAGCTGCTTCTGAATGTATTTAACAGAAAAACTGAATTCTGAATTACAGAACACAATAATTCGAATACGCAATGATGGTTCTCATCAACATTTCTTGGATTCAGTAACCGTAAAGTTCATGACAGTAATGTCTCATAATGCACTAGTCGTTGTAGCATCTGATTATTTAATAGTATCATATCGTTTAACATCCACATTCGATCAAGAGTAAGTGTTTTAATCATTCTAGGAAATGTCAACATGTCCTTTTTAGCCGTCATGCTAAACTGAGGTGTACTGATCTAGTGATATACACAGATCGAAAATTAATAATAGTGATTAACTATTGTAGAAAAGAAGCGAATTGAAAAAAACAAGAAAAAGAAACTAAGTAATAGTGATTTATTTATTTTCAAAGTAGTTTAATCGACCATGTTTTTTTTTCTCTCTCTCTTCTTTCTTTTTTTATAGAATGATAGAGTCGTTTTGATTCCAGTGAAAGCGTTTTCAGAATTTATTCCTGCGGATCTTTTGGTGGATGTGGTGAAGTAGCGGGTTTAGCTGGTGATGATGAAACGGGTGATATCTTCTATCTGATTCGTTTTTCAAACAAGACAACCAGTTTGTATGGTCTTAATCAGGATGTTCGCACATCTTATTTCATCGCTTCCTCGCAAGATTTTCCTGTGTTAGTTACTCGTATTCAATATAAGTGATGAAATGAGATATTTTATTCAACTCAAATGAAATAACAGTGATTTGAAATTTTCTATGAAATACGACCGTACAAGGAATAAAACGTTCCATATGTTGGCTGACTAATTTCACAAAGTCTGAAAGAATCTCCATATTCAATATAGGAGCGCGATACAGCAGGAATAAGTGTGCTATACCGAAATAGCGAGCAGTTTTGGTGGTTTGAAGAAAAGGATTTTCTCGGAAAACTTTTTAATTGACATTATATTTGAAAGATAGACTGGACAGAGGTTCGTTTTAGATTGCGACAATTAATTGTTGTTAAAGAGAAACTGATATTTATCACGGAAATGGGAGAAGTGGGTGTTTGTGATAAGAAGCTGGGTTCGTTGAACATTCATCTGACTCTCAAAAAATGTGGCACTTGTACCAGTATTTAATTTGAATTCTATAAAACCAGTCAACTTTATACGAGCTTTAACGACAGATGATAACACTGCAAGAAATACGCTCACGTGGGACACTGAACCGAAGTTCTTAACAGGAAAAATCATTTTTAAAGTTTGTCGGTTTTTTTTCTTTTAATTCTAATGATTTTGGAAATACAGCGGATAATTTTATAAATTTTACCAAAAGGTTTCGCAATTTTTTAGAAGTATATACAAAAAATAATAGATTGGTCTCACCTAAGAGCTATGTATATTGTACTCATCTTTGATCTTTTAGAATGTTGCATGACAGTGGATCATTTTTAGACTGATACGAGCAACCTCCTCATTTTTCCTTAAATCCCATTCGATTCGATGTTATAGAAAATTGAAAGCTTCAGATTACATTGTACAAGGAACATTGGGGTCGAGAACGTTTTGTGGATTATTCGTTATCACATAGCTATACGATAAGTGATACACTTCTTCATCAGTGGTCCTCGAAACAAAAGTATGACGCCGAAGTAGAGGCACTAACTGCTTGGGATTTGATATCAATAAACCAAACTGGCCTGATAGCACCAACTAAACCACCAACTCCTCCAACAAACTTAACCATTTATGCTACACAACAGGTCCTTTTTTCTTGTAAATCTATTCATTCTATATCCTTTTATCGATTTTCAGTTCTTGTATATATTATGTAACTGAATCACTCACATCCTTTTGATTTTCATCTTAAATTTTTTCCTCCATTTATCTGATTGCTTAGAAGAATTAGCTTCCCAATCCTTCTATAGTAATTTAATAAATTTCATTCTGTGATATTTATCGTAATTCGATGATACTTATTGATAAGTTACAGAAAAACCGTCGATGGTGCTCGGGCATTAATGGATTTATTCTGGGAGGAA